CTATTTTCTTCCCTTACTTGAAGGTTGAAAATTTTTACTGTAAAGAATTGTGGTAATAATTGTTGGATTGAAAAGGATTCACTGAATATTATTAAATGGTGTAACAAGAAGCAGCGCGTGTCATGGGAACTTTGGCCATTATGGTTGCTGACTTTAGATCTTGTTTCTTTTTTATCGGTCTCATTCTCTCATGTTTTTCGAGAAGCTAACTCTTTAGCTGGTGCTCTGGTTAAGGGTGGTTCCTCTTTACTTTCCTTTATCATTGCTAATGATGTAATTTCTTTCTTTAGTATTCAATAAAGGTAGTAGCATTTGTCAAAAAAAATTTCCTCTCTCTCGTTTTCTAGATGAGGTGGAGATATCCGATTTTACCTAAATTGTCCTACTTTTTGGGGATGTTATTTTGGCTTTTCTTCAGTTTTTTTTATAGGTGTTTTCTACTCAATGAAGTCCACTTGGACTCATAAGGGTAACTCGGCTCAGCTAGCAGCAGAGCCCCGTTGTAAAACATCATTGTGTCTTATCGTAAAGAGAGTTGAGTTTTGCAGTCCGATATTGACAAATTAGAACAAGAGCTAAGTATATATAGAGAAGTGAAAACCATTAAGTCAATAGCAGGTATGGATCATCTCCGCTTTTATGTTCGTAGTACAAAGGCAAGGTAGTTCCAAAATGCACTTTCCACTTCATGCCCACATTCTATATTTCATACTGTCCACTAAAGCAAACAAATAGTTCTTCTTCACCCTCGATTTTTATATTGTGGAACTAATTATTTTCAAATAATCCCAATTGTTTATCCATGATTAAATAACAAAAAATGGTTTTCGAGTAGAGGGAAACCGTACAATCTTTTCATTTAGTTAAGAGATTTTATACAATGAGATCATTTACATTTGATAGGAGGTCATAATTAGTACAACCATCCTATGTGAAATCTGATAGTTTGGGTATATTAAGTATATTGTATTCCTCTCATTATGTCAAGAGTCCCATGAGTTTCATTTGAATTGCATTCGTACAATCACACGTTACAGCCTGCTAATAGCGTTGTGAATGCGCCTGGGCTGGCCTACTCGCTTTCAAAGTCTCAGATTCAAACTAGGTTTGGATCACATGCTCATGTCTGCAAGTTGGCCCATTCTAACTCTACAAGTCTTAGCCTGACACCAGCTCGCCGAAAAATCTCTTAAGTTGATATTTACACATTAAAATAAAATTTTATATATATGTATATAAGTATATATA